GCCGTGATCCGCGCAGCACCAGGCAGCCACACATGTCCCCCTGCACGCACACGCACAGCCGGGGTTGTCCCTGGTGAGGGATGTGTGTGGAAGAAACAAAAAAGCCCTTTGCATCATGCTGTGGTTGAAAGGTGCGGACGGAGTGCGCTCCACCGGCTGCCTGTCACCCCCCAGGTGCTGGGACGCGGTGCCAGTGGTGATGGCTGTGCTGTAAACAGCCATCATGTTTTATCTCTTGGACAGATTTCGCACATCATAAGAGAGATCCGCCAGTTCCAGCAAACCTCCTACAAGATTGAGCACCAGCCTAAGGTACGGTCTTGTGCCGAGAGCCACGCACTCCCTCTCCTCGTCTCCCACTCCAATTGCAGCGTCTGAGCAGCCTTCAATTTCTGGCAGCTCCTTAGGGGAAGATATGATGCTTCTGTAAGAAATTTAACACCAAAATGCTAGCAGAACCGGTGCAGGTGGGGGGGCTTGTCTCAGGCAAGGCATGACAGAGGGGGACGGGCACAGGAGACAGCTAGCGACCTCCCTGCTCTGGTGCCTCTCGTGCCACGCAAACCATAAAATGCCCACGCAGCATTGCTGGCAGAGCAAAAGGATGCAGCTTCCCGCCGTCCAAGCCTCGGCCAGAACAAGTCGGTGCTGTCCCTGCCTGTCCTTAGCTTTGCTGCCATTTCTTCCCAGCAGACAGCACTGCCATTTCACTCTGGTTCTTTCTGCAAGCCGTGGGCACTGGGGGCAGCAGCCCGGCATGGTCTTGCTGAGTTGGGGCTGGAGCGTGGCCATGGTCGGGCAGTGCGGCAAGGGAGCAGCTGGAAGGGCTCCCGGGGAGCGGGTGGGCGCTGGGGACAGAGCTGTCCTCTGCTGTGAGCTGCTTTTGGGCAAACGTCGGCCGAGGCAGAGACCTGTGTGCTGCGAGAGCGTGGGTCTTGCCGCGGAGGTCCCGTCCTGCGGGAGAGCAGCTCCACGACGTGAACTCAGCCAGAGCTCGTGTTTTACCTGGAGGTTGAACGAGAAGCTGTACCTTTCCCCATCCGTGGGGCCCTTCCATGGGAATGAGTAACAAGTGTCAGTGACTCCTGGGACCGCTGCCCTCGCACCCTGCACTCCCTTGCCCTTTGCTGCCTGACCGCTGCAGCAGGAGCACGGCTGGTGCCTCTGCACTGGGAGCAGTGCCTGTGCCTTGCTGGAGGCTGCCGGCAGTGGTGCAGGGGACAGAGGGTGGCTGCAGGCGCCACAAAGGTTCCCCCGTGCCTCCCCCAGGATGCTGCAGCAGAGGCATTGCTGTAGACAGCAGCTGTGCCCGGATGCGACAGCCGTTGGGCAGGGCAGGGAGCGGGGCGGGGGGCCCTA